CCTCCCTCCTTCCCTCCATCCCTCCTTCCTTCCTTCCTTCCTTCCTTCCTTCCTTCCTTCCTTCCTTCCTTCCTTCCTTCTCTCCATTCCCCTATCCCAGTTTCTCTTTCCTTTTGAAGTTTCACTTTTTTTTCTTTGGTCCATTTGAGACAAGGTTTCACTATGCAGTTCATGCCGGCCTCAAACTCACTTTGTAACCAGTTCAGGCTGGCCTCGAAGATTGAAGATTTTTCTGCCTCAGCCTCCCAAGTGCTGGGATTACAGGTGTGGGCCACCATGCCGGCTTTCCCTTTTTTTTTTTTCTTGTTTTTTTTGTCTTTTTGAGACAGGGTCTGGCTATGCAGTTCAGGCTGGTCTCAAACTTGCAACAATCCTCCTGCCTCAGCCTCCCGAGTGCTAGGATTACAGGCCTGCACCACCATGCCGGCTTTTTTTTTTTTTTTAAACAGGGTCTCAAGCTACATATTTCAGGCTGGCCCTGAGTGCACTATGTAGCCCAGGCTGGCCTGAACTTACAGCATGTTCTCTAATGTGTCAAAACAAATTTTTTTCAGTAAAACAAAGTTTGTTTGTTTGTATGTTTGTTTGTTTGTTTTTTGTTGGGGCTGGGGATTTAGCTTAGCAGCACAGCGCCTGCCTGGCAAGCGCAAGGTCGTGAGTTCGATTCCTGGTACCAGAGGTGGGGGGGGCGGGGGAACAACCGAAAAAAAACTTTCTTTTTTAAATTTCTTTTGTTTTAATAGAATTTGACCTAATCCTATTATAATGTCCTCTGTAATGACATATTTTATAATCTCCCTTTTAATAGTTTGGTATTGGATTTACTTGTTTATGTTGGTGGTACCGGGGATTGAACCCAAGGCCTTAGCACTGAGCTTCACTCCCTTCCCCCAGCGCTGGGCGGTTTTCATTGATACCAGCATGTAACAGCCTGGTTAGTTACCTGTGAAGATGAGTTCTGAGTAGGAATTGGTTATTGATTTGTTATTTTTGAAAGGGAAAGACCTGTATTGGAAATGCTTAAAACATAACTACCAGATAACCAAAAGTGCTCCAACTTCAGTGTTTTCCTTCCAGTCAGCTTTTGGTTTCTTTTCACTGTGATTGTTTTGCTTTATTATGTGGTTTATTACTGAAGGATAAGAAGGTAAATTTTAATTTTAATATTTGACTCAGACTGTTGTCTTGAATTGTAACAAATTTTGTGTAATCTGTTCTGAAAGTGGAGTGCAAGGAGATTTTTGTTGAACTATATGAAGTACACAGTTAATTAAGATGTGCTAGAACAAGAATGTTCAGTATTAAAACAGGATGTGGTAGCACATGCCCGTAAGACCAGAATTCAAGAGCCTGAGACAGGACGATCTTGACCTCTAGCCCAACTTAAGTGAGACCCTATCTTTTAAAAAAATTAAATATTAATATGGTTTGGGGGGTATATTCTCTAAACATTGAAGGTAGAACATTATTTCAAATATAGCTTCTGATGAAAATATTTTTCCCTTCCAGGTTTTTCCTCAAAGTTTCAGAACTGTTTGATAAAACAAGAGTAAGTACTAAATTCTAGAGTTTTAGCACACAAGATTGTACCTGTACTATAGTTAACAATAAGTGATCTCCCTCCCCTTGGCCTTCTGCCTCAGTCTCCCCAACACTGGAATTACAGATGTGCGCCACCACGTCTGGATCCCCTGACACACTGGTTTAAAATGAGTAGTAACATTCCCAGCACTGCAGAGTTAAAGTAAATAATTGGGGGCCAAAGATAGAGGACTTCGCTCGAGGGACCCCAGTTTGCTCCCCAGCGCCCTCCCCAGCCAAGTGGTATCAGTGCCCGGCACGTACACAGCTGCAGAAAAGTCGCACTCACAGCAGTGATACAACACTGGTGACGTCCGGACTGGGGGCTTACCCTCCATACCGTAGCATTTAATGAGGTAATCCGTGATGAAGTGGCGGTGTTGCGTTCATGTTTAGTGGTACTTAGCTGAGGCTCTGGGTAGCTGTGCACTGTAAAGTCAGATTTCAGCATGGCCTTGTCACTCGAGTGATGACGGAGATACGTGAAGGAGAGAGGGCTTGTCACACAGGAGACAAGGAGTGTGGACACTGCTATCAAGATAGTGGTTTCTTGGGGCTGGGGATTTAGCTCAGCGGCAAAAAGCGCCTGCCTGGCAAGCGCAAGGTCATGAGTTCGGTTCCCGGTACCGGAGAAAAACCAAAGAAAAAAAAGATAGTGGTTTCTTTTTTTCTCCCTCTTTAAAAATTTTTTTCCAGGTAGTTCATTATTCTGCCTTTCATAACGGCATCACTGAGCACTTTCAGGGAACTTGCAGACGTAGAGTTGTTTTTTCTGTACATTTACATCAAAGGAATAGAGATGTAGCACACAGTAGACTTAAGTCAAACCCTCTGCGAAACAGATGTGAAGATTTGATGTAAAAGGTACCGTGAAGAATGAAAAGGAAGGAGCAGGAGCAGGCTGTCTCGGACAGGTGAAAGGCATCCCTCAGCTCCAGGTGCCCCTGCGGTTTCCCATCCAGCCGCGCGCTGCTCTGTGGCGGGGGGTGGGGAGAGGTGTGGGAGCTGAGCCGTGGTGCGACCGTGCTCCTGAACCCAGAGGGTTGTACTTGAGGCCATGAGTCAGTTAGGGCCCTTGCAGCGAGCAGTTTGTTTGAAACCAGAACAGGGTGGCATATTTTCCCAGCCTGCCTTTAGGGTCTGAATGTTGTTCTGGTTATTACAGTTGTATACAACCAGCCTAAAACTAGTAGCATGCAGCAGCTATTTTGTATGCCAGTGAATTCTTCACAGCAAAGGTTCAGAAAGGACAGATACGGCCTGCCAGGGCCTTGGCTGGGACAATCTGGAGATGTCCCAGAAAGCTGAAAGCTCTTTTCCTTATGTGTCTGAGGTTCGCGCTGGCCCTCACCTGACCTGTGCTAGGGCTGTGCTGGACACTGCGTGTGGCCTCTCCGTGCGGTGCTCACAGCTCCTCGTAGCACGGGCTGCCCCAGAAGTTAGCCGTCCTGAGGGGTGCACATGAGAGCAGCTGGTTTCTTAACTGGCCACTGGCCTGAGGTCACTTCTGCTGTATTGGCCAAACGGTCTGAGAGTTTATGAGTCCCAGAAAGGGGACACAGACTCTTTCTTTCAGTGGAATGAGAGGAAACTTAACTACTTCAATAACACCCATGCCATCTAGCCTGTTACCAGCACGGCTAAGTCAGTTTTGAATATACTTGTCTGTGTTCTTGTGTGTAGGTTAGGAAGTTCCAGGTTGGGCTGTAGCTCAGTGGTAGACAACTTGCCTGGCATGAGCAAGGCCCTGGGTTCACTTCTTGGCACCACCTGGGGTGAGGTAGGGGATTCATAAAGTTTTAATTCCTCCACAAGTTAATAGTACTTAGGAAGATACGGTTTTTCAGATTTTTATTGAAGTGTATTAGACATACAGGAAAGAGTACATACTGTAAGTGTACAGCTCATAGCACTCCCCAAGTAAAGAAGGAGTAGAGGCGTGCCCTGCCTAGCTGCCTTCCACGGCACGGCACTGTCCGCTCCTGCAGTGGAGAGCGGTGGAACACAGAAGTGACGCTGAGTCTCGGTGAGGTGCTGAGATCAGATGCAGTCTTCATTACTCATTGGTGTCAGCTGAGTTCATCCTTTTTCTGTTCTTCGCTCAAGGTTGCAAACCAAAGGAGCAGCTTAGCTGGCAGGAAGAGGGAGGAGACCAGTGAAACGGGAGTGCGTGCTGGAGTTAGGACTTCAGTGTTCGTGCAGTAATTATCAAGAAGAAAAAGGCTGAGGGCAGAGTATGATTGCTAATTTAATGCCCAGTGTTCCCCCTTTTTCAGAAAATAGAAGCCCGAGTGTCTGCCGATGAAGACCTCAAACTTTCTGACCTTTTAAAATATTACTTAAGAGAATCTCAAGCAGCTAAGGTAACTTCATTGTGCATTTCTTTAGAGCTTGTTGGACTTAAGATTGTTAAAGGTGACTTCCTTTTTAAAGAGCAGAATATATTTATTGGGGGAAAGAAAGCTTCTGTCAGAGAGAGAGGCAGAAGGGGTCCCGAGTGTTTATTTTTGAGATATGTTCAAGTATTAATTTTTTTTCTCCCTTTAGAAATTGTAGATCAGGGCCAGGGATGTAGCTCAGCAGCACAAGTGCCTGCCTGGCAAGCGCAAGGTCCTGAGTTGGATTCCCAGTACCAAAAAGAAAAAGAAATTGTAGATCAGGGAATACCACATAAATTTCCTATAGAAGCCAGATGTGGTGTTTAAGCATGCCGTTACTCCTAGCATTCTGAGAGGCTGAGGCAGGCGGTTTGGAAGTTTGAGCAAGCCTGGGCAACTTAGCAACATGATGAGACCCTCCCCCAAAATGAGAAGGGATGGGAGTGAAGCTTAGTGGAAGGCCCTGGGTCCAGTGCCTAGTGTCCTCCACCCCCGCCCTCACAGAAGTTACCTGTATGAACGAGAGGGAGACAAGCAGAAATGTTACCCGTACAAACCTCTGATAGAATGTGATCTGGAATAAGGCAAATCTAGAAACCAGATTAATGGTTGCATAGGGGCAGAGAACATGTTGGAAAGGGAGAGCGGCTGCTCGTGGGCGTGGGTTTTCTGAATGGCGGACACACTGTGAATTTGGTTGGTGGTGATGGTTGTGCAATTCTGAGTGTACTGAAAACCACTTCACTGCATATTTTAAATGGTATAGGAATTATATCTCAGACTGACGGAGGGGGCTTTGTTTTGCATTTGTTGTTTTGTGGTCCTAGTAATTGAATCCAAGGTCTTCACCCTGAATTATGGCTGCAGCCTTTTTTAAAAAAATTCTTTTTATTTTGAGACAGGATCTTGCTAAGTTTTCAGTTGGGCTTAAACTTGTGATTCCTCCTGCCATAGCTTCCCAGGGTGGTGAATTACAGATGTGTGCCACCACACCCAGCAATAAAACTACTAGTAAAAAAAAAAAAAAAAAAAGACGAAGGATGGTGGCAGACACGTATAATCTCAGCACTAGGGAGGCTGAGGCAGGAGAATCGCCATGAGTTTGAGGACAGCCTGGGCGACATAGTGAGTTCAAAGCCAGCCTGAACTACATGGTGAGGTCCTGTCTCAAAACAAAAAAACACTTAGGGTAGGGAATTGGGGTTCAAGCCATAAAACGAAGCAAATGGAAATAAAATGTTCAAGGGTAGCTGGCACACGATGCCCGCGCCCTCTGTGATGTCCCCTCCGGTGGTGGTGGTGGGGTAAGTCTGACATGTGGCACGTTCTGTCTACAGGATCTCCTTTACCGAAGATCTCGGTCATTAGTTGATTATGAAAATGCGAATAAAGCTCTGGATAAAGCAAGGGCAAAAAATAAAGACGTTCTTCAGGCTGAAACTTCCCAACAACTATGTTGTCAGAAGTTTGAAAAAATATCTGAATCTGCAAAACAAGGTATCATTGCATTAACCTTCGGTCACAGTTTGTCTTAGAGTTATTATGTAAATTTGTTAATTCTATTTTCTTGTTCACAGAACTTATAGACTTTAAGACAAGAAGAGTTGCTGCATTCAGAAAAAATTTAGTGGAACTTGCAGAATTAGAGCTGAAGCATGCCAAGGTAATGTATTAAAGATTTAATAATTTAAGCCACATGTAGTGCATGCACCTGTGATCCCAGCTGCTAGGAGGCTGAGACAAGGGAATCACAAGGTTAGAACCTGTTCCAAAATAAAAGTTGGGTTTTTTTTTTTTTTTTTGTCTTGTTCAGACAGGGTCTCACTGTGCAGTTCAGGCTGAACTTGAGCTTACTTTGTAGCCTAGGCTGGTCTCAAACTTGCAACAATCTTCCTGCCTCAGCCTCCTGAGTACTGGGACAGGCGTGTGCCACCATGCCCAGCTAATAAAACTTTTTTAAAAGGCTGGGAATATATAGTTCATTGCTGCCTGTCCTTTTTTTCCTCTTTTCCATCCCTGCTTCCTTTTTGTGTGTGTGGGTGTTCTTTTTTGATTTGCTTTTTGAGATAAGGGTCTACTAGGATTACAAGGGGGTGTGTCATCACACTTAAGTTTCCTTTTTTTGTTTGTGTTTTTTGAGACAGGGTCTCTCGTCCAGGCTGGCCTTGAATTCCTGGCAGTCTTCCTCCTCAGTCTCCCAAGTGCTGGGATTATAGGTGTACACTATCTCCTTGGCCTGATGTACTCTAAACAGAGCTGGTTTCTAATTTTCACTGTTCTTTTTAAGGAGGTCATATGCTGTTGACCAGAGTTGTATTACTGTAGATCAAGGGCTGGCAAAGTAGAGCCCATCAGGTTTTGTACAGCCTGTGATCGAAGAGTGGTGTTCTCATTTTTAAATGGTTAACAGGCAAATGAAAAATAGTGATAATTATATGGAATGCAAGTGTAAGTTCTATAAGGGTTTTATTGGGACGCAGCCAAGCATACTCATTTCTGCTTGTCTGTGGCTGCATTCACACCGCCTCAGCAAGTGGAGGAACCGACATGGACCGTGTGCCTTCACGTCTGCAATATTGAAAGTGCGTAGTTTCTCACAGAGAAGTTTGCTAGTTTCTGCTCCTAGACTCAGAGAATTTCCAGATTCCGTGTTCCTTCAAGTCCTTTCTGCAGTGTGTTCTCTGCAGTGTGTTCTCCAGTCAGATTTCTGATGTCTGTTCTCGGTCCTGTGGCTCTCAGTGGGGGTGTGTGTGTGTGACTGCCCTGCTGCAGAGGCATTGACAGTGGGCACAGCAGAGAGGGCAGGGGTTTCCTCTCGCGGTGGGGGTGCCAGGCTGCTGCCCACATCCTCAGTGTGCAGCCAGGCCAGGGCTTACACAGACCCACGTGGCCTAGTGCTGGGGGTGGCAGAGCCTGAGATTTTGCAGTGGTTTTTTTTGTGTGTAGTTTTTCTTGAGAAAGGGCCTCACTGTGTAGCTTATGAGTGGGGAATATTGACGTGTTGTCCCTTTGAAGCACAGGTAGATTATCTTACACAGTTGGTACTCTGTGAGGAGCCAGAAATGCTGCTTCATTCTGTGTTCAGGTGCCCTTAGTGAACTTCTCCTCATCTGTGTGCCCCAGCCCTGTTCCAAAAAGCCTGAATTGTAGTGAAAATTATGGTAAGGTAGTCTGAAACTACTTCGGATTTTATTTATTATGTCTTGCAACATAGTTGAAATCTGATTGTAATGGAAAATTTGTATCCTTACAAGTAGTCTCGGTTCTTATCAGTAAAGTATAAAACGTAGGTGCAAGAAAAGAAGATGTGACGAAACTGACCAGAGAGGGTGGGACATGTGCACGCTCTTGCCCCATTCATAAAGTGTAGGGTAGTGCACACCTTTTTGGGTGGGCAGTTGAGTGTGTTACAATGTGGAGTATAACTTGATATGGTGGAGCACTGCCTGTAATCTCAGCACTCCAGGAAGCTGAGGCAGAAGGATCACACATTCAAGCCCCACATGGGCAACTTAGGAAGATTGTGTCTCAAAATCAAAAATTTAAAAAGGGCTAGGAGATGTGTAGCTCAGGGCAAAAGCTGTAAGTTCAATCCCCAGTACTATTCAAAACAAACCAAAGAATAATTAAACGTGGTCCAAAAGGGCATATTTTGCATTCATTAGAATGCATCAGGGCCTGGGATGTAGCTCCGCAGTGCAGCACCTGCCTCGTAAGCGCAAGGCCCTGAGTTAGATTCTCGGTACAAAAAAAAGAAAAAAGAATGTATCAGTTAATCCAGACCATTAATATTGGTCTAGAAATTTATTTAGTAAAGAATGGCTGTTTCCAAAATCTTGCCCACTTAACAAACCGAAGTGACATTATTTCTAATGCTGTGTATTTTCAGTGAGATCTTTCGAGCTGTTTGGAGTAACACAGTTTGTAATTCTCTTTCCTTTTTAGGGTAACCTCCAGTTGCTGCAGAACTGCCTGGCAGTGTTGAATGGAGACACATAAGCCACTTCTGGTTTCTGTTAAAAAGGGCTGCCTTCCTTCAGATCTTATTTTTGTTTTCTTAATGATGTTAAGCATTTCTGCTCACCGGAAGCAAAGCTGACAAAGTGCATCTCCTCTCCCTCCTCTGAGAAGCAGCGGCAGCACTGCGCACAGGCAGCGCAGTCTGCCACAGGCTGTGTCTCTGGATAGCGTCCATCACCTGCACCCGTCCTACTCCAAAGCCCAGAGTCCAGTCTTTAAGTAGCCTTCATAACTGGGTTTATTTTATAAATAGTACTCTTTATGGCTGCCAATCTTATTTACCTTCAAATCATTTCTGAAGTTTAACCTTTTCAAATTACATTGTTCAAACAAGGTAAAGATGGCCTTTCTTGATTTCTTTTTTTAAATTTTGTTTTTAAAAAGTATTGTACTGTATACTCTTAGTTCATTCATGTATCCTTGTAAAGCATCTTAATCGGACTTACTTTTAATTATAAAAGTTTTGGGCCAAACTTATGTAATCTTTCTAAGTATGATTTCTGAAGAGAAATGCATTAATTAGTATGTTTGCCTTAAACTTGTAGACTAAACCAACTATTGTAAAATAACCAGTGATAAGTGAATAGTTTTAAACTGAGGTCATGTATCACTCTAAAATTTGGAGTAGCTATAATAAATCTACTCCAATACTATGCTTTACAGTGCAGGTCTTAGTTTTTCTCTTTCTTCTTGTTTCATTGAAAATGATACATTGATCTGGCTGTGGTAGCACACGCCTGTAATCCCAGCACTTGGTAGGCTAAGACAGGAAGATTGCCCGAAATTCGATGCCATCCTGGGCTACATAGTGAGTTCAAGGCCACCCTAAACTACATAGCAAGGCTATGTCTCAAAAGAAAAAGGCACATGGAACCATTTCATCAATCTCTTTAGAAAGGAAACGAACAAACTGTTCCTCTGCACACCATAGGAGGTGGGCTTGGGCAGAGGCAGGTGACAGCTGTTTGTGAAATACTGGAGCAGTGTATGGTCTCTTACAGTTCATAGTTTCCTGGCCTCCATCCCTAGCCAACCAAATAATCATGAGACATACACTGCTGAGCCTCTGGGTAGCTCTCATGATGCTGTATCTAGAGAGAGCTGCTACCAGGAAGAGCTCTCTTCTGTGGAGAAAAATGGAATATTTGAGATAAAAGCTGGTGTGAAGTAGGACAGTGCTGACAAGTTGCCAGTAGTTTTATTACAAATATTATTGGCCTTTTTAATGTGAATGAACATTATTGTCATTCCCAATTGAAAGTTAGACTGAGTGGTTGAAGTTTTTCACCAACTTTTTCTAACTTTTGTCCTGTCTGGAACCCACAGTCATTTGGGTTGGTGACCCATGAATGGGTTTCTAGTTTACATTATCCCAGCCTGTCCTCAAGATTGCCTGGTCTGTCTTCCTGCCTTCCCGTGACTCCCGCCTTTCAGCATGTTCTCTTGCTCACTGTGCTGGTTATGTCTGTCTCTAACTATTCGCCCTCCTGATCCTGTGGGTGCCGTTGATCTTTTCCTGTGGCCGAGAGGTCCGTGTAGTGTCTTTCATGTAGCCGGCGTCAGCGAAGGTTTGCTGGGCTGTGTCCGCCTGTGCGTGTGCTGGCTGGTCGAGCCCCTTGTCTGCGCTCAGGTCCCACCCCACCCCCCAGCTGCCCTGCGCCTCCAGCAGGTCTGGGCAGGTGTGCTTGACTTCTGCCTCAGTTCTCTCCCCTAAAGGACCTTGACCTACCTCACAGGGGTGTTGTGAGGATTAATAAACGTTGGTACTGTGCTTTGGAAACATGCAGGTGCCATGTAAGTGCTCAGAAATCCCACACATGCAGTGCTTCCCGCAGTTCTTGGCTGCTCTGCTCACTGAGTGGTCTGCTGGGGGCAGGGCGGAGTGGGTGCGTCCCTGTAATATAGGAGATCCAGCGTGGCGAAGCTGGGCGGGGAAATGGAGGGGGCCTGTCAATTACAACATTCCAAGACAGCACCAAGTAATTCAGTAATTCTCAGGAAGCCCCCGTGGAACTTCCCGTAGGCTCCCACAAAATGTGCACCACACAGAAGAGACCAGAGGCCCCAGGGAGCCCACCGTCGTGACTTTCCATGATACCCCACGCTGCGTTTCCTGGACATGGCATGTACTTTTAGTTTTGCTTTTATCTTCTTTTTCTCTTGTTCTGCCCACGTTTACTCTGAAGAGCTGGTTTGTCCCATACCCACTCGGTCCTCACTTTTCAGTAAGTTTTTGGCTTGTCTCATCCAATTCTTTGTTCGAGGAGAGAAGGACCTGGAATACCTGAATTGGCAAGCCTTTTTATTTGAATACGGGCAACACTTCGTCACATGCAGTTTCAATAAGACAACAATCAAGTCTATGCTACTCAAAGGTCTTACAGGCATGTGCCACCACGTCCGGCTTCTTTTTTTCTTTCTTTCTTTCTTTTTTTTTTTTTTTTAAATAACTGGCCTTGTGAGCTAAGCCTGATTTTAAAGCATTTGGGCTTGTAACAAGACAGGAACCTTATTATTCCTACACAAAAAGAAAAACTGTACTACCCCTTTAAAAACAGCCTGTGTGGTGGCGTGCACCTGTAATCTCAGCACTGAGGGAGGATCTGGAGTTTTGAGGCCAGCCTAGGCTGTGTAGTGAGTTCAAGGGCTGCTTGAATTACATGGAGAAACCGCTCAAAAAATAAAACAAAAAACCAAAAGAACCCCATGCAGCCTTTGCTGGTACAAAACCACCAAGGCTGAGGCCTCAGGCAGATGTGGTGGGTGCATACAATGGGGTGGATCAGGCCCAGGCAACATCCGAGGCTGGCTCCCACCCCAACGGGGCTGAGGGAGAAAGCGGAAGGCAAAAAGTTTTAAAGTACCCAAGGCTTCTGGCTGAAAGTCAGTGCCTAAGCCACTTTGTGAGACATCACCACCTGGCTTTTGTGCTTCCCTGTTTAAATGCAGATAAGGACCCCTGCCTGATGCCTGAACAGAATAGCATTTAACTTTTAAAAGCTAGTTAACATGGGGCTGGGGATTTAGCTCAGTGGCAAACGCACCTGCCTAGCAAGCGCAAGGTCGTGAGTTCGGTTCCCGGTACCGGAGAAAAACCAAAAAAAAAAAAAAAAGCTAATTAACGTGATTGAGTATATGAAATCAGCCATCCCAGTTCTTAGTACTTTTTCCATCAGAGTGAATGCAAGAGTGGTTTTCCCATATGTTTTCACTCTAGTTAAATAGGGTCATCAAGGGGACTTGAGATACGAGCTCAGCTAGCAGGAGGCTTAGAGTAAATACAAGTTGGGCCATCAAGGGGTCCAATGAAGTGGTTAAACGAACTTTGCTTGGGAAAGTTCTGCCATAACCTCACGGGAGTTTGGACTAGGCAGGCCAATGAATGGCCCAGCCCGCTTGTCCCTAAGGAGTTAATGGGCCCCAATATGGAGACAGAGGTTTTCTTCCGTGGTAAGTGATGCTGTCATCACATAAGGTTTGGATGGAGACCTCTCATCAGGTCAGGTTGTATAAAGTCTTATAAGGGGCACCTTGTGGACTTTGTCTCCTCCTTATGCACGGGACACCACCTTGAGGCGTGTAGGCCTAGCTGTTTCCTTCTAGGTCCCAAGACAAGCAAATTGGAAAGCTATTGTTTTTTTTTTTTTCTTTTCTGTCTTTTTGAGACAGGGTTTTGCTATGCAGTTCAGGTTGGCCTTGAGCTCACGTTGTAGCCCAAGCTGGCCACAAACTCGCAACTATCCTCCTGCCTCAGCCTCCCGAGTGCTGGGATTACAGGTGTGCGCCACCACGCCTGGCAATTCCAATGATTTAAAACAAGAACAGCTTACCTACTGTTGCAATATGATCCGAGTTCAGTATGAACTGCGAGTTGGCAACAGATGGGTATGGGATAGTACTTTAAGCTCTGAGACTGTTGTCCAGTTTCAGCATTTCTACTTGAAACATGAAAGGTGGTGTGAAATGCCTTCTGTTCAAGGTTTTGTGACTGTATCAAAGGGAAGGGCTCAAGTACTCCGGTACTTAGTGCAGCTCCAAGGAAGACAAAAACATTGTGTATGACTCTGTTCTAAGACCCCCATTTATCTCTCAGGAGGATCTCATCTTGCTGATCTGTTTAGGGAGAAACCACACTGGGCGGTCACCTCGACCTCACTCTTACAAGCCTCTTCATCCCCTCCAGGTAGCAGGAGACTCCATTAGAACCTAGTGCCCCAGAGGAACCCAACATTCCTCAGCTTGCCTGGCAGCCCCCGCAGGCAGCCCTCAGTCCCAGTGGGTACACACAGCTTGAGCCCCACAGGGTGAACCCAACTTGTCCTGCCCATAAGAGAAGTCCCAGTGATGGAAGGAAATACTCGAGTACATGTTCCTTTTTCAGCTGCAGATCTCCAGCTGTGCAAGGAATGATTAGACCAGCTATCAGAACACTGTTACTGAGTTTGCAGATGGGTTTCAGACTTCGGCCCTTGCTTTCGATTTATCATGGTGAGATGTCCAGTTCATCTTGGCCACCCTGGAGGGAACCCACCCTGGAGAAGTTTCAGCAAAGCTAGACTATAATACTCAGCATGGACTAGAAATGATGTCTAGTGTGATAGCTGCTCTTATCGTTGGGATGAAAAGGTACCTGAAGTCTGTTAATTACAACAGTGAGAGGAGTCTTACAGGGCACAGAGGAAAATCTAGCTTTGTCTCTTCACCGATTAGCAGAGACCTTCTGGAGTATACTAACACAGGGAGAGAGAGGCACCAATGGGACATTTCATCTGTCAGTCAGCCCCAGGTACATGGCATAAGCTAAAAAAATCTTCAGATGGGGCCTCAGACACCTACGGCCCAATTGCTGGACATGGCCTTTCTGCGTTCAACAACTGGGACCCAGGGGAGAGAGAAAAGAGGGAAGCTAGGATTGTGGCTGTTGTAACTGGTGAATGCACCCACGTCATTTAAGGAAAAAGCTAGGAACAACTGAGGAAACAGCTCCAGAAGATGGCCCTGCTCTGATGTGAGGCAGCTGCCGTGCCTGACTCCTGGCACTGGGGGTTTGA